TTATGATAACAACTAAATTCCTTCCCCCCCTCCCCCACCACCCTCTCGATAAATAACAGTTTTCCCCTACGTAAGCACATTTACGAAATAAGTGTTACGAGCTATTACCTCCATTTTCCATATCGCAGTAAACTGTCTTGAGGTTGCTACCAGACTCTCCTGGATCCAGCCAAAATCTTCCGCTAGTTGCTAGTCCGCCAGAACTGTCCTTTATTTCTTGGCATGAGACTGCAGGAAGCTCGGACAAGGAGCCAGGGGTAACTAAAGCAGCAGGAAAGAGATACACACTTGATTAGAAGTTTTCTTGGCTAAGATGACAATTATATTTTGCATAAGGCCTAGCTGCAGTAATCAATCAGTTGTCTTCGGGGACCTCTGGGACGACCAAACTACCAACCATACATGAGTTGAGAAATGAAGTTTTTCTATGAGGCTATTTGTAAAGAAGTAAATTTTATTCCATTCACATTCAACTTGTTGTCAGATTCCTCTAAGGAAATGACAACCCTTTCAAATGTGCCCCGCTCCCAACGTGTGGTTTTGTCACAGTTGGTCGAAGCGCCCAGCTATTATCTGGTAGGTACAGGTTAATTCCAGTCGAAGCCTGAATTTTTCCTTCAATTGCTAACATTGAAGTCCCACGCGAAGATCTTGGCTTTACTTCAGTGATGGCTTATAAGGATGGCTCTGGCAATTTGAGTACGTCTCTATCAAACTCCTCCGTCCTAAAAGCAATCCTTCCCGTTTAGTTTATCCCGGTTTCTTTTATGTTTATTGTAAGATTGCACTTCACAAAAAAGGGACCTTAAGCAGTCAGAACGGCAACGCCAAGGAAGACTTCGATTAAAAAATGAATTTAGTTAGAATTTCAAAAATAGCTGCATGAGCTTATTGTCTCATATGGCGCCACAGCTCAACTAGTGTTGAGTTCCAATTGGAAATTAAAATATTTGCCGTAGTGGTTTCGGCTCGCAGACGACGCAAATTTTGGCGATTTCACGTTGTTGCTCTCCATAGGACGGCTAAGAAATGTACAAAGTTTCAAAATGCACGTGCTGAATTATTGTTCTGCCAATTAGATCTCTTGTTTTTCTACGTCCTCGTTGCCGTCGCCGTCCTGGTTGCTTAAGGTCCCTAAAAACAGACGGCAACGGATGAAAACTGCAATTACCTCAATAATGCCTCGTTTATTGGCATTTATGCACGAAATAGGAAAAAGCAATGACACTTCTCAACTCAAAGTCTTTTTGTTTTTGTTTCAAGGATGAATGATACTAGCGCCGACTTCCCCTCGAACACGTCGAAAATTGCGGCTTACTACGCATTAATATGCCGGAAATCTGTACATTTTTTAAATTAAGCATCCCTGTTCAATTCTAGCATCTTACAAAGTTTCATTTACCCTTCGACTTTTTCAGCCGGAAAAAATTAAATTTCAAGATGTAAAAAAGACTCAGAATCGAATGTTGCAATAATAGGCCGTTAAATAGGTTTGGCCTACATGTGTGTGCTGTACTTCAATTCTTCAAAACTTATGCAGCTGTGCACAAAAAAATTTCATGACGTTTTTTGCCAGAAAAGTGAGTTGCTTAAGATTTCCTTCGAATTTTCGCTGTTCAGACAATTCGTGTCATGCCTCAATACCTGCAATTGTAATTGTGTTTCCTGAAGATTGATTTTACTTTAGTTTTGGTAGACAGTTTGGGGAAAAGAAGGGTCATTCTCTACTATTTTTATAAGGTAATTGCTATTTACAAAATATGGCATTATTAAAGAACGGAAATTACCTCTGAAGGGGTTATCCATGTAAAAGGCGCCTTGGTGTGGTTGAAAATTCAAATGTCCTACGATTCGAGTGCGGTTGTTCAGCTCACAAATTTGCGTCTTTTCGTAAAAATTGAAGCTCTGACATTGTATGTCTCCCTTACAGCGGTAATAACACGCGAACATGTTCTGTACAACAAATGATGCGTAATCGTGTTTCGCGAGAACAGCTCCTTTGATAGATGTGACACAGGTCTTACCGCTTTGCAAACTGTTGCTGGTAACCTTTGCAACGTTTTGAAACATCACGATAAAAAGATTAACTGTGCATAAATTTGACAAAAGGTGGAAACTTGCGCGGCTAACCTGCATGTGAAAAGATAAACGAACATTAAAACGCAGGTAAAAGTGCTACAATTGTCATGCAGTTTACACAATACTTTTTAATATCCTAAAAAAAAAAAAATGTTTACCAAATTTAGCGGTTATTGTAACAAACCGACAGTAAACTGGACAGCTCTCACCTCAGTGTTCTGATTCTGTTTCATCTCGCCACTAAATTTTTGGCAAAATCCTCGCTCGGATTCCCGACAGCGAGCGCCAAGAATACGTGAGTTCTGTCAGAAATGAAAGCTTTTTGGTTAAATTTTGTTCTCTTATTCACTCGGGACAGATTTCCGTTGCCCTTAATTGCTAACACTCCGATTACATCCGTGTTCTTGACGCCAGTCTCTAATAAATTAGCTGTTGAATAAAGCTTTGACTAATAAGCGACGTAAGAGTAAATTTCATTGGCTCATTAGTCTATGTGTTTGTTCATTTCAACCTATCGAAGTTACAAGTAGTAAAGTAACACACAACTCTCTTCTGATATATATATTTTTTCTTTCTTTTTTTTCCCAAACATATGCGCCAGCTAAAATAGCATGCACTTACCTTGTGTCTTATTAGCCTTTCATTGCAACACCTTTCAATCTGCTTTGTGTCACGTCTTATTACAAACACTCTTTCTGCAAACTGTACTTTGTACAGGGAGATTTCGATAACAAAATTTTGACTTCTCTGAGTGCCTTTGTCATACACCACAGACGTAAAAAACAGTCGGCTTCAAGATCAATTTAAATTGCAAACGTTTCACAGTGCCTCTTTTATTTTTCTAAAAATTTTTTTCAGAAAGCATATCACCAAAATAAACGTAGAATTGATTAGTTTTGAACTTCTTAAGATAGATTATTTTCATTGCTTACCGCACAAATTGGCTTTTCTTCAGTGCCGCCGTTCAAAATAGTATTAGTTACCGACCATAACCAACGTACGTGCGCGATTACCATCTGCTAATCAGCGAATTTCAATAAAAAAAATAAGCATTTCAATTTTACTGTTGCCTGTTCACCGCAGATTGATCCGCGGGACGTGGGAAAACAAAAAGAGCACCTGCCGTGCAAAGATTGAATAAGAAATAAAAAATATTTATCCTTCCTTGAAAAGTGTCAAGCCTCTTATTTGAATTAAGAAAAAAAAAAGGGCAAACTGAAATTCACAGCAAGAAGACAATGAAGTGTGGTCAATATATTACCCAACTCTTTTATTATTCTTTTATCTGATTCCTATTGTGCTGTACCGCTTGCGTTCTCCATAATGTTGTATGTAAGTAAACTTACTTGTAGGAGCAGATTCATTCGTATAAACTTTGATACCACGGAAGACTGTCACATGGTTATCGGCTAAACGCGCTAAAAATTTTCAGTGTGAAAATCATAAAGTGAAATCACAAATATAACATGCTTGTTGCATACTTATGTCGACGTATTTAGAAAATCGTAACCTTTTTCGAACTCAATTAATTTTTGTGTTTATTCTTGTACATTTTAGGGCTATAATATCTATTTCAACTTCTTTTTAAATTTCTTGTATTCTTTGGTATTCGTGTATGTGCTCCTTAAAGGCTTCAACTCATAGTTGTAATATTAAAGTTCGTATTTTTTTTCCTTTCTGCCTCAACTTGCTACGGAACAGGGAATAGTGTATCATCATAAAAAGTGGTACTAAACTTGAACTTGAATTTGCAGATCACTAATAAGAGAGGTCGAAAACATTTTGGTTAAATCATAGTTAGTAGAGGGTCCCCTCTACTAACTATGGTTAAATCAAATGTAAATGCTCTTATTTTACTGCGACCTACTTAAGAGTGTCAAGTTTTTAGCGTGAAATATATTACTCGTGTATAATGGAGTATTTTCATTCAATTCTACTCGAATTATGGCGTTATTAACCGGAATATTAACTTCTTACTAGCCGAGCACGAGGGCCGTTCGCTATTATTTAAAAACTTTGGTTCAGATTTCAACAGAAAATAATTCGTAAGTTAATTTCTTTGTCCCCAAATACCATGCCTGACTGAATTAAATATTCCAAACGAAATAATTTGGAGAAATCAAACAGTTCTCGAGCGATCGATCATCGACTAGCCGGCGAAGGCTAAATAATTTGACCCAAATGCCGATTACTTTTTTTGCCTTCAATCATGAGACAGCAATGAATTAAAGGGAAGCTAGTATCAAACAACAATTGATAAAACGTTTTTGAATTTTTCTAGGCCTTTGGGAGGGAGAAAACTCAGATTAGATTCAACTTACCTTCTCTACTCTCTCGGCTTCATTATAGTTCGCTTTCTCTTTATTGTTGACTTCTTTCCAGTCTGTTTTCTAGAGCTCTTTGTCTTTCTTTTCACGTTGCTCTCAGCCAGATATTTACCCTTTTATATGAGCTGTTTTACATCCTCTTTAGGGTTGCACTCGCCGAGCCCCTGTCCATTTTTTCATGTCGTTTCGAGGATTGCTTCTTTGCAAGCAGGTTGATTAGAATTGCAAAATACTCCGGTTGAGTATCAGTGATACTGAATCTCTCAACTGCAACCTATCAGTTATCAGTAGGATTCTCGCTAAAAACTCTTCGCTTGCGTGGCTTCACCTCTACTAGCCCACGTGAAATCCCTCCGTGCAATGCCAACTTTGTGGCTGCGGTGTGCTGCAGCTTAATTCGGTGTTCCAGTAGGCACACTTGATGTGCACGCGCATTACTTCTCCGTTTCCATTTTGCGAACGTAATGGCTTGATTCGAGCTTGCAATACAGTTGGCCGCGCACGCTAACGGTAGCACCTTGTGCGTGCGACATACGGTCTAGCTCTACCGAGTTTTTGTCGAAGGACCAAACTTTTTGGGCTAGATGGATTTCCATTTTTAGCACCAGTATAGGGCTACACTCCACGCGACTATATATCTCGTTTCACATAAAAATAAAACACAAAAGTCATGAACTGATATGCTACTTTTTCTAGTCTCGGACCAGTCTTACCCGACAAAGATAATGTAATGTCTTATCTTATTTGTTCAAGAATCAAGTGTGGTCTTTTTTACGACTTTTATCGATCCATATGAAGTCCGAATACAGTCAATGACCCTGGCAAAAACCTAACCAGGGTCGTTCGAGAACATTACGTAAATTATCAAAACATCAGTCATCACACCAAACAAAATGGATCACGAGTCACGTTTAATTCAGCTTTTCATTCATGGGTCACGTTTAAATAAAAACAAAAATGCGTTCACGTTCCGGTGGGAATGAAAAGATCTTATCATCTATCACGATTCACGAAAAAAAAATTAAATAAAATCACGTTTCACGAAGAAAAAAAAAGCGCCTGATCACTCTCCACGCGAAACTACAAAGGACCCTCTTTCTGAAGTTCTTTCCTTTTCCCAAAAAAAGAAGGCTTAGAACAGCGCAAACGTTAGTTAAAAGGCATTTTTAATAGTAAAACTTGATAAATGTTAGAAAAACAACATTTTTCTCGCTAACTTCGGTGTCTTGTTCGTATCCTCCAAACCAATCTGGGAATTCGTCCCTTGAGGCGCCATTTCTACGGACAGGAAAATGTTTCAGTTTTCTGAACAATATATCTTCAACCAATTAGTATGTGAGTTGTGTCTATTTGGGATTCAGATCACAGAAGCCTCTCTTGTCTTCACCATTTCTTGCAGTGCAGTATTTCTATCAGCGACGAGATGAAAATTTATCTCCATCAAGAGAAAACGAATAGTGCCCCCCCGAGTGCTATGTCCGTTCAACGCATTCTTATCCGTCCGAATTAAAGAAAAAAATTTACTAAAAAAACTTTCCATGTCAAAACAATTTTTTCTGGATCGAAGCCAGCACTTTCGAACAGATAACACGATGCATAAGATCATCTTAAGTCCAACCGCTTTCGGAGCCAACCATATGGAATTTATGCCTTCATGACGGCGACGCACGGAATACATCCATACATCTTTTCGCGTTTTTTTTTTAAGTCGCTCGACTAATCGACTGTCCCCAACAGTGCCAGACTTCCTTTTGACTCAGACGCACATAAATACAGTGTTGTGTTCGAAGAAGAAATGAGAATAATTTGTTATCAGAGTTACCAAATTTTGGCGATTTAATGTTGTTGTTGTTGTTGTTGTTCTTTTTTTTTTGCATGGAAAGGTTAGGAAAAAGATAGAGGTTAAGATCGCACGTATAGAGCTATTGTTTCGCTGCGAATTCTTTATCGTCGCAGCCATGGTTTTCTTGAGAGTCGTAATAAAATGAAAGCCAGCAAATTGTTATCTGCGATGGAGTTATCAACGATGCATATATTTTTTACACTCATTTCCTTTATTAAGCTCAAAAACTAGTACATGTTTACATATTCAAAAGGCTAACTGGTGTCTCAGTCACCTGCAGTCAAAGCTAAAATAACCGGCACCACTTGTTCAAATACCGCTGGATATTTTGATCGGCTGAATGCTTACAGCCTCTGGTGGTCTCGTCGTAGCTCTGAGAAAACAGGTTCAAATTCGTAATGATAACATGTTGAATAACGGCTGTCAATGGATACGCAATGGTTATACATTAATTCTAAATGAAGAGGGTGGCGAATAATTTTATACAAAATTCATTGCCTTGCAAGAATCTCGTCAAATTGTCCTCACTTTCGTTTCTGACCATTCTTCTCCTTCTTCCCTTTTATTTTGTTCTTATCATTTATTTCTATTCATTAGTTGTGAATTTGCGGCGTCGAAACCCTTACTTGCCGAGAAAAACCCGCTTTACAGGTTGGGGACAGGCTTGAAAAAAGTCAACTCATGCCATATTTATTTAGGTGAGGCAGTCCTTTTTCAGCACCACGCTGGTAACATTTCGCAACTAATGAATTCCCATCTCGTATGTATCCTCCCTCGCCACCCCTTGTCATCATACTCTCAAGAGGAATTTACATTCCCGTTTATTTTGTTTATACCCAAATGAAAATCTCAGTTTTCAACAACACAAGGCAATTCTTAGCAGTTTTTAGATAAGATAACAACAACTTAAAGCAATGTTTATTCCTTGAGAGGCTTGCACCTTGGTTAAAGCATTATCCGTGGCCACTGATTATCCTCCTCAGACGACGATTCTCATTCTCCAAAGCATTTATCTTTGCGCGGATACACATATTTTCCTCCTCAAGGAGAGTAACCCTACGCTGTGTCTGTTGTTCTCTTAGTCGTCGCGCGTCCCGTGACCTCTTAGCTGAAAGGTTGTTTTTCTTTCTTCGCTCCCAGTAGCTTTCATCTCTCTTAGCTAAGCTGCATTTGATTTTGGATCGGAGCGCGTCTTCATCTTGCCTTGTACGTTTACCAGCGTACAGTTCCGATTTGTTCTCTTGCATACCGTTGTCAAAAAATGCCATTTTTTCTTCTGTTGAACTGCTTGCGATGCTACTGTTAATGGGTGTTGGTTCCTGCGTAGATGAGCCGGTCGGTCTTCCCAATGAAGTTCTCTTTTTCTCTCGTTCGGAGGGGGAAGCAGTTACACCAGGACAAGAAAGAGATGCTTGGTCTGCAGTCGAAACGAACGGCAATGCTGGATATGGGTAACTTACATCCACAGATTGCCACCTTTGCTTTTTCGGTGAGAATAGCAACGACTGATGCGATAAACCTTCTGTAAACATACTCATCCCGGAAAATTTACCCGACTGATTTTGACTTTGCCACATTCTTGGATGGTAGGCCTGACCATGTCTTGGTGAAAACAGGCTCGATCTCTTCAGGGGAAAATGAAATGAATCCTTCATATCCCAAATGCGTACAGAGTACTCGTTTGTTGACTGAAGCTTTTGATACTTTGAAGAGCGGACACTGGGGAAACTTTCGTAAGCTGCCACAGATCCACGGCTTTCCATCTTCAGTAGTCAATGGATAGTCTGTAAGTTCAGTTCGTGTCTTCACTTTCTTATATTTATTTCTATTTGTGATAACGGTTTATCTCATTGTCCCTGTCACATAGGAAACGTAAACAAGAAGCATCTGAGGGACACCTGCTTGTTCGCTTTTGTGTGAAAACCATTGTGTTGCAGTGATCAGTTCACATGGAATTTTGTTTTGGTTAGGGGTGTTCCTATTTCCTGCTCTCGGTCCAACTGGATGTTAACTTCGGATTTGTCGGTTGCTTTTACAAAGATTCTGCAGGGCAAACTTCGGCTGGAGGCATGACCACTGCTGTAAAACACAATGATAGATTGGAGTATCCGCCTCGAATATTCTGATATCCCGGTTGCCTTTTTAAGAATTTTTCTTGTAGAAAATAAAGTAGCCAGATATTTTTTCTCTCAAATTGTTAGAAATGAAACGAAAATAAGAAGAGCATGACAGAATCACGACTGTTGTAACATGACATAACTTGATTCTATAGCTACCATAAAATTAAAAAGCAAAAACAGATGAAAACCTCCATTTCTTCCGACAACAAAGACCGCAAAACATCTGTTTTTGTGCCTATACTTTTCACTCGCAAAGACTTGCAACTTCATGTGTTATTTTCTCTTTGCGGTCTAAGGTACCATATCACGACATCTATCATTCCCTATTTAAATCTTTTTATTAGCAGTGCTTTTAATCGTATAATGAAGATATAAAATATCTTTCCTAGTGTGAAATATACCAAAATAAAAAAATTAATTTAAAAAAATTTTAATAATTGCCAAGGGCTGTCCTATCTACTCAATAGTGCAAATAACTTCATCCTTAATAACTGAGGATTAAGGCTGCTAACGCCTTGCGCAGCGCTTTTACATGAGCTTGGCGACCTAAATCTCTAAAGTAGGATAAAAGAAAAGCGAACAAAAACGAATGATCGGTCTTTTCATTTCATTTATTTGCCTTTTTACTATTACAATTTATCCATAGTTCAACGTATGGCGAGGTGACCTCTAGAAACTACCAGGCTTATAGTTTAGGCCACCATGATCGTTGGATATTTCTTTACTTCCACCTGAGCCATTGTCAACCACCAGTTTCTTAGAAGTTACCTTTCTATTCAGTTTCCTTTTCTGCTCTCACGGAGCACTGTGGCGTAGTCAATACACACGATACCTGTCGGAATTTTTACGCAAACTTGTTGAGGGAAGAGCTTTCTCAAAAAATCATTTTTTAGAGCGGACAGATCATAAATTCTTTCCATAACGGCATTCTTCCGTGGCTAAACACTACAAAATGTGAAAAGAAAAGAAAAGAAAAGAAAAATAGAAATATTAGAATTATTGCTAACGCGAATGTTTAAATTCAAAACAGAGAGACATGGCGAACGAACAAAATCAATGTTAACTTCACAAATGGAGAGGACTGCGGCTACAGAATTTAGAAAGGGCGGTGGCTTTAATAAGCTTCACTTAACGCTGGAAACTGTACGTTACATCCAGAGCAGATAGACCTGTTAAAATGGAACTCTGTTTTAAAAAGTCCTGAAACCGAAATTGCTTGAGTTGAAGCCATCATGTGCAAATGCATTGGAAAATCTATCGCTTTTATGGGTCATTCAAGAAACAGTTTGGACCACAATGGCGGATTGCCATTCTTTTTGAGAAAAAGTTACTGTTATCTAATTCTCTTTATAGGTCTTTGAAGCTTGCCGATTTAAAAGCGTGGTCTTTGAACCATGTTATGCAAAACAAGCTTACTAAAATGTGTAGGCCAAACAAAAGTTATCCTGAATTCTATGCTGTACAGTAGTTTATATCCGGGGACTACAGAAGCAGGTGTCATTCACCTGCTTCTTATTTACTAGATCTCAGTCTGGCTTCCAATAGCAGGTGATGAAAAAACAAGATAACAGTGAGCATGTAGAATGAAGTTGAGTGGTGTGCAAATCAGTGAAGCGACACATCGTGGCATCTTTCTACCGAATATTTCTGAAAAATACGCAAACTTTTCCCACTATGATTCCCCTTTCGCACCTTGCTATGGAGAGGGGTACCTTTGGCGATTCAGTGAAACGGTAACTTTATGTGGCATAGAATTTTTAAATTCTAAGAGTAAGAGTATGGTGAGAACTTATGCCAACATTAAATATCATTACGTAATCGTAGCGACGTTCACTGCACTGAACACTTACCAAATCTTCAAGGGCCCCATTGAAATTCCTTCCACGAATTTGACCGAGGGTTATCGGAGACAGTAAACCCACTTTTACTTTTGTCATCTGCTGGCAAACGCCTACGATTTCAATTATTTTTATTGAGTAAGGGAGTTACCGTTTCTTAGTAGCTTGCCGATTTGAGATTTTACAGAAAGTAAATGCGTGCATGAACTCAGACTGTATTTTACCAGTTGTTGGGTCCGGAAACGTTACTCATCAACGCACTTCTGTTCGAAAGAGACATAAACGGGGACACAGTTTCAAAATTTTGACTGCTTTAATTGCGTTCGACGTAACAGAGCGCATACAGTTCATGTTATTCTATTAATCCCACGGGTTTGGGTTAACCCGCCGGTATCGATCTGAAGTCAGGCTGTTACAACTTTTTGAGGCCAGCTTGAGCTGGCTGACACACGTGGCCTCGATCTCATGTGTGTAACTAGACTCGCTTCGGTCTTGGATGCCATGGAAGGTACTTAGCAATATCTCAGCCATTTGAGCTTTGTGAAACATCGTCCGTATAAACGGCTAAAATTATGCGCTCCGTACTACTTTTTTGACACGTCCGTACCCGATTTTTCTGCCGTGTAATCGGCCTTTTAGAGCGGGTCGGATAAAAAGAGGCATAAGGACCAAGTAAGCAAGGTTGCGTTTACACTGCAGTTTTTGGTGGACCTGACCAATTTCTTGCATGGGGCTTCGGTATTTGGTACAGATGTGTGCTGTTATCGAACATGCGTACCGTATTTACTCGAATAAGCGCCGCGGCGCTTATTTAAAACTTGTACCAGACAAATTTACTTTTTCTATATTTTTATTCATCGGTACACTTTCTATCTGTCAATTTTCCTGGTGCTAAACTGATAGTAAATCTAGAATTACGAGAGAAATTTTCCTGGTGCTAAACTGATAGTAAATCTAGAATTGCGAGAGAAATTCATGCGGTGAAAAAACCCCGAGCGTTTCAGAACCCGAGCAGAGAAATACAGTCACTTTGAACTAAAGAACATCACATTTAAAGAATATAAATTGCCGATGCTGTGTTAAAATTGTTTTATAGTGTTTTTCCTGGTTATACGGAATTCCTCAAATAAGCGCTGCATCGGGGATGCGGCGCTCATTCGAGTAAATACGGTAATTCTTGTAAACAAAATGGCGACGCCTGATGCAAGAAATTGGTCCAGACCCGTGTTTTTTTCTGGTTTTGGCGCCATAGACGTCTATGGCCTCAAATCAAGAAAAAACACGGTCCGTATCCATTCCCCAAAACATGGTAAGGATTGTTTAAACGCCAAAAAATGTCCGTACTCCTTTTTTGACAAGTCCGTAGCCGATTTTTCTGCCGTGTGAAGGGCCTTTAAAATGCTGTTTTGAAAGCTATATGGAACGCATTTTGCTAACCATTAACATTACTAGTTTTTATTGCCGCGTCTATGTCCGATATTTAACAATAGGGGAAAATTGGATGCTTCGTGAATGCTTTTCCAAGTGAGGAACTTTCAATGTGCTTATTCACGCTATTTCCTGCAGGTTTGAAGACCCAGGTTTTCAGGAGGTCATGTTTCTGGAAGTCGAGGAGACGTTGATTTACAAAATATGTAAATTTAGTTGGAAAAAAATCATCTGCTAGATTTTTTTCTCTTCTCCTACAGCACCGCATCGCAACTTCAGCATATCGTATTTGAGAAGAATTAAGTTCCAAATGGATGTCACAAATAATGTCTTTGTCTGGGTTTCCATTCTCAGACCATTTTTTTTTTTTTGGTGATTTCACGTTGTTGTTTTTTAGAGGATGGTTAAGGAGGCTCGAAAAGGTTTTCCACAATTAACGGCAAGTGCCAAATAATAAAAGGTATCAGGACTGTTAAACTTATCATCAGGGTATGTTTGATATCAGTATGAACCATTTTGGTACAATTTTTAAGGGTGTTCGTCAGGCCTTGACTGTTGCCATAACAACAGAACAGTGGTGCTAAAAGACCGTCTAAAACTCGGTTTTTTTTAAAAGATATCTCAAAAACGAAGTGAATGACCTAGTTTTTATTTTTTAAATTTCTTAAACATAACCGCATTCTTTTTCCGTAAACGTGGTAGAAATTGAGGTATTTAGTAAAATGCTGTCACGGGATAAATTTTCATTACATAATTTTTTTCTAACTCTCTTCCCAAACACGTAATGATGAATATTATTTGTGCACAAAAAATTAGGGTAGTTCACTGTGCTAATTTTCGAGATACTAGCTCATCAACTTGGCAAGCTTTATTTCCGCTTTTTTTCCAATTTAGCTTACACTTTTAGATATCCGTACTTGCGTGCATCTTGGAATCCAATCTCCGTGCGGTAAAAAAAAAAAAAAAACCTTTCGAGCGTCTTTAAGCGATACACGAAGTTTTGAAATGCACGTGCTCTCGTCGCCGTGGTGCACGGGAGAACGTGCATTAGAACAGGGACCTTCAGCGAGCCACGACAACGGCAAAGAGGACGCGGTAGAAAACTATGGCGCCTTTTTAGTGTCAAAATTCGAAACCTCGAGTCAAACTTGCTATTTTTCTATTCAAACTTCCTGTTTGACAATTCAGATACGCTATTTGTTTACTGAAACATCCATTGTTTCAATTCAAAGCAATATTTCTTCGATTCAGTCATGCTGTTTTTCTATTCAAACGTGCAATCCTTCGTTTTAAAAGTGTTTTTCTACTACCCAAACATTCAGTCGTCTAATTCAAACGTGCTATTGTGCATTTCAAATTTTCAATCTCGCAATTCAA